TTCTCTATCCAATCCATGGTCGCAAACACATTTCAGCTGCTTCCTTGTTGTCGAATGAGGTTTAAGCAGCAAGTAAATTTTGAGTGTCTTGAGAACTATCTGAGGAAGTTAACCCATCACGGGCGATCTAAGCACTACTTTGGCCGGGCACTTCTTGGGGACAATATTCAAATGAAAAATTGACAAGTTTCTGTTTGCCTAAAGACGCTTTACATTGACTTGGTTTGATAAGCTGGCTGGCTGGCAGGCCCGGACAGGCGGGCGGGCGGGCTGATGAATCGATTGGGTGGAAGGTAGGTATTGTAGGTAGATAGAGTGTAAATTGGCAATTAGAATAGCTTTTTCAAACCTATTATTTTAGACAAGNTAAAATTATGCAGATCAAAGTTTCTTTCCAATGATGTTGAAACGAACTCCGAGGTCCTGCTGTGACTCATATTATTTGATGCAGTAGCACTCCTAAAGGTTATAAGTCCCAATCTAGCGTGTTATTTGGTGAAAACGTGGACAAGTTAGGCGATTTGTGCAGAGCATTTTATTTCTTTGTTTCATTTCTCGGAAATCTACATTGGCCTAATGGTGAACTATTTTTGAATATTAATGCTAGAATGTTCTAGCTCGATAAACAAACAGGTTAATACACCTTATTATTTAAAATATTGCTGAAACAAACGCCATGAACACAAAATTTATCAAAAATACATATTTTTGACGACTTAACTCTAGAACGGGGATCAATAATTAAATATTTATACCGTTCTTTATCCAGTCCATAGTCGCAAACACGTTTCGGTTTCCTTGTTGTCGAATGAGGTTTAAGCAGCAAGTGAATTTCGAGTGTCTTAAAAACTACCTGAGGAAGTTCACCCATCACTGGCGATCTAAACTTTACTTTGGCCGGGCACTTCTTGGGTAAAATGTTCAAATGAAAAATGACAAGTTTCCGTTTGCCTAAAGACGCTTTACGTTGACTTGGTTTGATAAGCTGGCTGGCTGGCTGGCTCGCTGGCTGGCTGGCTGGTGGGCGAATGAATCGCTTGGGGGGAAGGTGGGTATTGTAGGTAGATAGAGTGTAAATTGACAATTAGAATGGCTTTTTCAAACCTATTATTTTAGACAAGATTTATCATCATTAGAAACGCACTTGGCTAATTTCTGTTAATTCATTCTTCTTAGATTATGGACCGGTGGACCTGCTTGAAATATGCTAGAATCGTCGTTAATCTTGTTTTCCTTGTCTTGGACGTAATGAACATTAAAATACCTGTGAGCAGCCATGTCAAGTCAGGCGCAATACAAGAAGTCGGTAAATTTCTTTGGATGCATCCAGTGGCCAGAATGGCAATAAAGACGTTTATTGTGGCTTTTAAAAATGCGTGGCGAAAACACAATCCATGCGAAATGGCTACATCCATACTCAAACTTATCAAGGACCTCCAGGCAGCTGGACTCCTGTGGATGATCTTTGAGAGTGTGCTCTCCGGGATGAACAAGTTGCAGTGGTTGAAGTTTATTGCTCAAGTGTCTGCCAATCTCACTGTAATGCTTTACACAGGGGGATGGGCTTTTGGAGCGCAGATTGCGGGTGTACTTTTCTCAGCCCAAAGTTTGATTGATCTAATTCTTTCCTAGTTTGTAAAGGGTTCATAAATCCAACGATCTCTGTAGAGAGCCAAAAGTAATAACCTTTCCTGCAAGCGCTAAATATGTCATGTAGAATTAAATGATAGCATATTCGTTCCTAGAATGTATACTTCAAATTCAGTTATTCGCTAAGAGACTTTAAAACACTTGTTTCTAGATAAAGGACAGTTTTACTGTTATGGCTGAAAAATAAAAGCAAACCATAAGCAAGCCAGAGGGGAACTAACCTCAAGTAAACCAGAGTAGAACAAACCGCAAGCCAGCTGAGTTAATATTGCTAATGGTAAAAAATGTAAGAAGAAGGAAGTATTCGCGTATAATGATTTGGAGACTAAAAACATTATAACTTACTTGTTTTGGTGAAGGAATAACAAGGGTCATATTATAAAGTTAACATATGTATTCGGAAATATTAAGATCACCTCTAATAGCGTAGATCAATTGGTATTTTCTCCTAGTATGAAAAGACGGTTTTAATTAACTTGTTGAATACTTACGCTGAGTTGTTATAAGTACTGATCAACATATACTTTCTCGTATCGTGAATTCGGCGTAGAGCAGATGTCCTGTTTCTGTGGTAAATATTGTTTTAGTAAAGAATCTTTACATGTAGTTAGTTACCTTAGAAAAATAACAGTTATTTGTTCTCGTATTAAAAGAATGATTGCTTTTTTACTTAGTTGGATAATCACGCAAGATTTCCCTGGAAATTACCTTTCCCTTATATTTTAGGGTTTTTAGGTTGACTTTTTGAGTAATATTGCGAAATTTATGATAAGGGAACGTTTTCCTTGACCTTAATTACAGAGCTGTCTAACACCTTTTCAGCGTGAACAACTATAGTTCTTTATCTTACTCCCTGAATTTGTAATTGAGACAATCAC